ATATCTATAAATTACGTGTCATGCATAACACAGAGGAGGGTCTCACATTGATCCACTCAACATCAATTATGTTAATTGGATTGTGTCAATTAAATCAAGCAACCTTTTCTAGTGCCTGAACTTGGGTCCGTTCTACTCTTCATCTCGACACATTCCCTTTCTTTATATATGTGTGTGTGTGTGTGTGTTCATTTTTGCATTCAAGTTATGTATTCAAAAACCTAGCCAAATCCCCCTCACCCGTCGCTCTTGCACTCATTTTATTTGAACTGTGCATTTATTTTGTAATATTATAAATTTTGAGATTTAATAAATATTAATTTTTCATTCAAAATAACTATATAGAGTACATTGTATTTGAATATTGATAAAATAACATAATAAAAATAAATTTAACAATACTAGCAATTAAAATAACAATACATTGTGTTTGATGTAGATTTTTATAGAATAGGTTTTATGAAAATTGATATCTTTGAAGAATATATAATTAAAAGGTTAGGGTCCACATAAAAAATATTTTATTGAAAAAATATATGATTGAAATTAGTTTCGAAAAAATAAGTTTTAAACAATTTGTACCAAACCTGAGCTAAGCGAACTCGAAGATTACTATTCTTGAGGTCGATAACATCATCTATAAAGCCGAAATTAAACAAAAGTAAAAAACAATTTTTATATAATATTTGGTAAATCAAGTTTAAGCTCCTATTTGGTACCGATTAAAATTCAGATTTTAATCAAAATCAAAATCAACAATCAATTTTAACAACTTATTTCATGGGTTCCACAACTTTTCAACCACACATTTCATCGACTTTTATCAATATCTACTAAAAATATAATTTTATTCCCCAACAAACAGAGACCAAGAATTAAATACTAATATTGAATTGTTAGTAAAAAAAATTACAACACAATAAGTTTTCAACCACACATTTTATCGACATTTATCAATATCTACTAAAAATATGATTTTAATCTCCACCAAACATAGACTAAGTGTAAAACACTAAATATTGAATTGTTAGAAAAAAAAAAATTACAACACTAACTTTTCAACCACACATTTTATCGACTTTTATCAATATCTACTAAAAATATGATTTTAATCCCCCACCAAACAAGGACTAAGTGTTAAACGCTAATATTGAAATGTTAGAAAAAAAAATTACAACACAATAAACATGACCAAATTACTAAACTCATTCTCCTTAACAAGATTATTTATTTCTACACAGTTGAATAATATAATTCAAACTTCACATGAAAATTACATTTTGCAGAGCGGTTCACAAGTCATCTTTTCTAGCTCGTATTTGAATTTTTCCACAGCCAATGGTGGCAAGAATAATGGTACCACAACTTCATCTTCTCCTTTACCGTTCTTGATATTAGTACAAACACTAATATTTGAAGTGGCCGAAGCAACTCCACCATACACTGCATTGCCCCATCCAAAATCAATCTTCTCGAAACCTAAACGAGTTATGTTTGAAACAATGAAATTCCAATCTGTTGCGTATTTGGGTCTTTTCTTGATCACCATAAGATCTGCCACTGATTTAATGTACTCTTCACTCATTTGAGCCTTTGCATTTTGAATTAACTGAACTGCATATGACAATGGAGCAGTGCATAAAATTCT